AAAATATGATTAAAAGCTCCTTAAAAATGCACAACTAAAGAAATATATTCAAACCACATTTTACTATAGTTTTCCTTTTTTCAGTTCAGACATTTTGATTCTATAATTCCACTGGTTTTATTACACGCAAAAATATATATATATTTTTTTTTTTAATATTTTTTTTTTGTAATTTTCTTTTTATTGTCTCATTTTTTTTTAATCACATTTCGGCCACATTTTGTCACATTTTTGTCACGTTGTCGTCACATTTTCATCACATTGTCGTCACATTTTTGTCCCGTTATAGTCACATTTTTGTCACATTACTGTCCTATCTTTATCACATTTTTGTCACATTGTTGTCACATTTTTGTCACGTTCTGGTCACATCTTTGTCACATTTGTCACGTTATCGTCACCTTGTCGTCCTATTATGGTCACATCTTTGTCAAATTTTTTGTTACATTGTCGTCACATTTTTGTCACTTTATCGTCACATTTTTGTTACATTGTCGCCACATTTGTCACTTTATCGTCAAATTTTTTGTTACATTGTCGACACATTTTTGTCACTTTATCGTCACATTTTTTGTTACATTGTCGTCACATTTTTGTCACTTTATCGTCACATTGTCTTCATATTATGGCCACATTTGTCACTTTTTCATCTCGTTTTTATCACTCTTATTTTTTTTCCTTTCCCCCGTGTGTACCTACACCCAGTAAAACAAGAGAAAAACAAGGACCAAGAATAAAAAATAAGATAAAACACGAACGTAGTTAAATAATAAGAAACAATCACAAAAGAAAAAAAAATAAAATAAACTTTTTTGTGGGGTGATTACATTTCCATTGTCTCCAACATTGAGGGTCGCCACAGGTCCTCAAATTCTTTCATTTTGTTCTTTAACCTTGCAGTTACTTTTTCCATATTTAACACATCTTTCATTCTGTCCCACCATTGCTTTGCACGAGGTGGTTGTGGTTCAAGCCAGCAGACTGTAATAATTTTTTTTGCTATTATAATTAACATCCTAATAATCTTCCTTATTTTTATTGGAATATTTTGGGGGATAATACCCAACAAAAACAGTTGTACGTCTAAATCAATTTTTACATTAACGATTCTTTCTATCTGTTTTTTTACATTTTCCCAGTATTCTTTGAGTTTAGGGCAGTCCCAGAATATGTGTGTATAGTCTCCTACTTGGCCACAACCCCTCCAGCACTTATCAGACATTTTACTGTATTTTGAAATATGCAATGGTACCAGGAAATATCGCATCTTTACTTTCCATTCAAACTCTTTCCATAGCATACTACTAAACATTTGATGTCCTCCTTTGAATGATTCCTCCCAATTTTCATTTGAAATTACAATATTTCTTTCAGTTTCCCATCTATACTTGGTGTCCACATTATTGTCTTGTTCAGCCTGCAGGGCTTTATAGAACTTTGAAATTATCTTTTTATTCTCTAACTTAGTCATCAGTAATTTCTCTATTCCATTTTCTTGTTTACATATATACTCCCATTCTTTATGTTTTCTAAGGTAGTTTCTTATTTGTAAAAATTTGTAAAATTCATGTGTTGATAGATTAAATTCGTCTTTAAGCTGCTCAAATGATTTCATATTTTCCCCTTCAAACAGCTGCCCAATATGGACAAGTCCCTTGGATTCCCACTTTTGAAATCCCATCTCCATATTTGAGGGTATAAAATCACAATTTTTTCCTATTCTAGTGGCCCTGCAGATTGAACTAGACATTTCCATTTTCTTTTTTATCCCCATCCATATTTCCATTGTTCCTTTAACCCATTCATTTTTTATTTTCAACTGTTTTAGATTTTGCTTTCTAATGAAGGGTAGGCTTTGTAATTCTACTTTTGGGCATGAATTTTGTTCCATTTCCCTCCATCCCGTCTCTTCCTCATTATTTATCCAGATATTTATGATTCTTAAATGTGCTGCCCAATAATATCTTTTAATATTAGGCAAATTCAAACCTCCTTTTTCTTTGGAGCATTGTAGTAATGTATATCTTACTCGTGGCTTTTTATTTCCCCAAATAAATTTTGAGATCATATGATCAATTCTTTTAAATATTGTTTTTGGGAGCTGGATGGGTAGGGATTGGAACAAAAACAGCAACCTTGGCAGAACATTCATCCGTATTACTTCTATTCTTCCCATTATTGTCAAGGGCAAAATTTCCCATCTCACTAAATCTTCTTTAATCTCCTTGAATAATTTCTCATAGTTAGATGTAAATAGATTTGATAACTTTTGTGTAATATTAATGCCAAGGTATCTAAAGCCCTCATCCGTCCATTTGAATGTAGTCTTTTTTTTAAATTCTTCTGGACATTTTCCAGATATGATCATTGCTACCGATTTAGATTCATTGTTCAAGTATCCGGAGATTTCCCCAAACTCTCTTAAAATGTTATTCAGGATGGGTACAGTCTCAACAGGGTTACTTATATACATGAGGATATCATCTGCGAATAATGATATTTTTGACTCCACATTACCTTCATCTACGATACCCTTTATATCTGGACTTTGCCTAATATATTCAGCGAGCGGTTCTATACTTAAAGCAAATAATAAAGGGCTTAAACAATCTCCCTGCTTTACTCCTCTCTTCAGAAAGAAAAAGTCGGAGCAGCATCCATTTACTCTAATCCTGGATTTTGTATCTTTATAAACAAATTTAACCCAATTAATGAATGTTGAATGGAACCCAAACACTGATAATGTGTGATATAGATATGTCCATTTCACACAATCAAATGCTTTTTGTGCATCTAAGCTTAATAACATGTTTGTATTTGTGTTCCTTCTTGCACTGGACATAAGATTTAAAGTTCGCCTAATATTATTAGCGCCCTGTCGTCCCGGTATGAATCCTGTCTGATCGGGTTTAATCAACCTTGTTATGTATTTCTGTATTCTTTTTGCCATTATACTTGTTAAAATCTTCAAATCATTACATAGCAGGCTAACAGGGCGGTAGCTTTCACACAAAGTAGAGTCTTTACCTTCCTTATGCAAGACAGAAATGACAGCTTCTGACCATGATGTTGGAATGTTCCCTGATTCCAAGGCATAATTAAACACTTTCTTTAGTAGTGGGGCTATTTCTTCCTGAAAACATTTATAGAATTCTCCCGGAAATCCGTCCGTACCTGGACTTTTGTTGTTTTTCACATTTTTAATTGTATCAAATATTTCCTTGAGAGAAATTTGTTCTGTCATTTCCAGCGCTTGCTCTGGAGTCAGTGCTGGTAGGTTAAATTTGTTCATAAACTGTTGCATCTTTTCTTCCAAGGATGGTATTTCTTGGTCATTATATAGCTCTTCATAATATTCTGCAAATATTTTTGCAACCTCTTTTGGTTTAACCTTAATCTCCTTAGAAATAGGATGCCGTATCTTCGTTATTGCCTGGTCCGACTGTTTCTTTCTGAGTTGATATGCTAGTAACTTACTTGCTCGATTACCCTTTTCATAATAATTTTGATTAACAAATCTTAACGCCGCTTCTACTTTAAAAGTCAATAACTGATCTAATTTGGATCTAATTTCTTTAAGTTCTAATAAAGTACCGTGATTTAGCGTTTTTTTATGCTCATTTTCCAATTTTCTAATTTTCTTCTCCAACTCTTGTTGCTGATGCTCTCGATTTTTTTTTATCCTAGATGTTATCTCTATCATTTTCCCTCTTAATACTGCTTTCCCACATTCCCATAACGTTGTAGGGTTAACTTCTCCATTATCATTAATCTCAATGTATTGCTGTATACAATGTTTTATTTCCTGAACTACCGTCAAATCTGTCAAAACAGATACATTACATCTCCAGTACTTGAAAAACGACTCTTTATTTAACTCAATTGCTAATTTAATCGGGGCATGATCACTAATTGTTATTTTTTCAATTTCACAGCTTTTTACTTTATGTAATTCCTGTCGACCTATGCAAAAGAAATCTATTCTTGAGTAGCTATTATGTGCGTTCGAATAAAAGGTATATTCTTTTTCCTTGGGACACATTTTCGACCTTTTTGTTATATTTCCTCTCTCTGCTGGTAACCTGTCCATTTTTCCATTTTGTACCGTATTGAAATCACCTCCCAACACCATCATTCCCTTTGCTTCTTTTACAATTACATTTGCAATTATTTTAAAAAAAGTTTCATCTTCCTCATTAGGTGCATAAATGTTCATTATGGAGATGTCAGTGTCCCCAATATGTCCTATAACCATTACATATCTTCCCTTATCATCTTTTATTTCTTTTTCCACCACAAGTGTTATACCTTTTCTTACCAATATTGCTACCCCTCTTCTTTTCCCATATGATGCAAAAAACACATCCTTTACCCAATCCCTCTTTAATTTTTTATGTTCTTCATCCCCCAAATGAGTTTCCTGTATTAATGCTGATGAACAGTTTAGTTGTTTCAACTGATTTAGGATTTTCTTCCTCTTAATAGGGTTATTTAAACCATGGACATTATATGATACCAAATTTAAAGCTTCCATAGAATAAAGTAAAAGACCTCAATGTCAGACCCCATTATGCCCCTCATGTCCATGTATATCCCCTCATAATTTATAACAGTCATAGTACACCCCTCCATTTTTAATGTGCTTTCTCTAAAACAAAACATAGGCTATATAACGAAAATTTAGTGACTTTATTTGACTTCCAAAACACAAATTACCCCTGAGAGTACCCTTTACCCCCAAGAGATAGCACTAAGTGCAGTTGCAACTTCTAATTCTACCCACCCCCCAATAAGTTGCAAAATACTCAAATTGAGCTAATTTTTCCCTGCATAATACCAACTTTATTTTTTTTATATATATATATATATATTCAGATTAAGTTACTTCGACTCCTACTTTGTATCCTTTTTTTCACCAGTCTCTTTAATTAATGAAGGATTACCTCTTGAAATGATAATGTCCTCTCTTTTAGCTCCTCTTCTTCTTCTTCTCCAGTCGTTTACGCTGGCCCTTTCGACTGTCCCTGTGATGTCACCAGGGTCCAGTTGCCACTTAGGATGTCGTGTCTAATCTTTTCAGATTCAGACTCGTCCTCTTCCACCACGGAGATTCCCATGTTGCGTAGCATCGAGGCCGCGTCCTTTAGGCTTGCGAACGTCTCAGTCCTGTTGGTCCCGTCCTCCGAGAAGATCCGTAGTTGCGCTGGATACAGCATTTGTGCCTTCACATTTCTTTCCTTCAACTGTTTGATGACGTCACGAACGCGTCTTCTTTTCTTCTGAACCTCTGTTGTATAGTCTTGGTTGAAATAAATGTTCTGTCCGCCAAACACAATCCGTTGTTTCCACGCTTCTCGGATTACTTGTTCCTTTACTTGGTAGTTCAGAAAGCGTACAATGATAACTCTGGCAGTTGTGTTGCTCCCCGTTCCCAGGCTGCCAATGCGATGTGCTCTTTCAATGTCTATGCATAGACCTGTTGGCAGATCCAGTTTGGAGCGTATGAGCTCTTTCACGAATCCCACGACGTCGTTCTTCTCAGCCCGCTCTTCAACCCCGTGTATTCTGATGTTCTTTCGCCTCCCTCTTGCCTCTAGTTCGTTGCATTTAGCCGCCACCTTAGCTTCACTTTGGAGGAGATACACGACGGCTTTTTCCAGCTGGGTCATGCGGTCTTCCGTATTCCCCACTCGCGTCTCCAACTCCGACGTTCGCTTTTCAAGTGTGGACATTTGTTTCGCAACATCTTGGATACTTTTTTCCACTCTAGCAAGTGCCTGTTTGTTATCCGCTGCTGCGTCTTTATGCTCCTGCCTGAGCCGGCGTATCTCCTCCAAGATACCAGAGCCCACGGGTTCTTCCTCCTCGTGTGGCATGTTCCCCAGTGGCGGTGAGTTGTCCAAATCGTTACTTGGCGACTTTTTACTCTTTGCAACCCTTCTTCTTGTCTTAATAGACATCGGTCTTGATTCTATCAAATCATAAACCTTATTTACGGAGTCTTTTTGTTGGTTTTTCGCAGAGTCTGTTTGTCTTTACCGCATGTTATAACCGGAAGCGGAAGCGGAAGTTAAAAAAATATATTTTTTAAGATTATTCAATTTTGATTTCATTCTTAAATTCACTAATTGGTCGGGAAAATCCAGGACAATACACACGTCTGATACTCCGGCTGAATGTGGCTCAGGACTGTGTGGGACAACGTGTGTGAAAGATCAACGGCCAGGATCAAGGAGAGGTCAGGACTGTACAAGCTCATACTAGAATGATGCAGTATGAGCTACGGATGCATAGCAGATATGGTTTACTCTACTTCCAGTTGCTTCTCACGGGTTCACACAAATACTGCCACCGAGCTAATGTATCGTTGTCATTAATAACTGTTTGTGTTGTTGTTCTGCAAATTTCCAGAGAAAATTAATAGAATGAGTGGTGGCCGGGGCGACAGTGGCTCAGTTGGTAGAGCATTGACCTTTGAGCCTGAAGGTCATGGGTTCGAGCCCACCACAAGACCTTCCCCCACTGATGTCTGCTGTTGTTGTGTCCTTGGGCAAGACACTTAACTCCACTTTGCCTGAAGCCCTGAAGCCCCCACTGAAAGATTATGGCTGTTACTGACAGAACAGCCAACCTCCTGCGGACTCACCACCTGCAGGAGGATCAGTGAGGAGCTGGTCTGACTGCCACCCCCCTGACCCAGAAATGGATTAAGGGGAAGAAGATGGATGGAATTGTGGCTATTTTGTGTTACTGCATTTAACTTGCTATATACAAGGCTAGCTTCACGCAGAGTTGAGATGTTTATAAAATGCTTGAGAACACATTAGCCTTCCTGATACCACACATGCATATAACGCGAGGCATTAGTGGCGTGTGTTTGCTCCTTTTCCAGAGCCAAGTCAAAATGCTTTAGTCATCTGCCATCATACACCTCATGGTTCAGATAAAAAAGAGGTTTGGGGAGCTGCCATAAGCCGATATACACACTCCCAACCTTTCTCTTTTGGTCCAAGATTGTAAAAAATAGCTTTGAACATGATCTAAAAGTGCAAATTCTACTTCCCCCTATGCACTTATCAAATCAATGTTTATACTTGTTTCAATGGATCAAAAACACACTTCTGTGCCAAACAAGTGGACCTCAGTGGTCTTTCAGTTTGCAGGTCTCTGCTGCACACTTCCCACATTGAAGATGACAAGAATCTATTCATAAAGGGCGAGAGGAAAGGTGGTTAGAGCCTGAGGAGATTGGGTCAGGGCAAGAAGTGATAAAAGGGGAGGGTTATGGCATTCAGAGACAGGTCTTGGTTCTGCCTGTGAGTGAAGGATTATTGAAAACTGTTTTGCACAAAAAGTATGGAGGCGAAAGAAGGGATGTTTTGCTGAGTATTATTCAAATAGGTTCCTTTTGCCTTGAGTTTAAATGTTACTGCAAAATGTTGAAGAGGTAATACATCTAATATGTCTTTCAAAAGTACCACAAAAAGCTTTTGCTGAGTATATTATAATGGTATCAATTTACAACTACACAAAAATTACAAAAGAAAGCAACAGATGGTTGGTCCACCAGCTTGTGTCATGGTGAGTAATGTCAAAATACTACATTACATACAAAGCACTTTTTAGACTATACTTTGATTTGTATTTCATGGTGCTACAAGGTTTTATATAAGCCACAATTTACTTATTGTATTGACCTATATTTATCTCTGAATAGTTCCACTGAGATTTCAGAATCTCCATTCAGGAGTCCTGGCTCCAAAGAAAGGGCAGCTATTGTACATGATTTAACGGTAAGGGGAACCCAAGGACCTGGGGAAAACCCACAGAGGCTAGGTAGGAATTATCTAACTCTATTCAAAAAGCCCTGTGCCAACCTGAAATCGTACCCAGAATCTTCTTGCTGGGAAGCGAGAAGGCTAACCACTCTGCCACCATGCTGCCTTTCTAATACAATTGAAAAAGGTAAAATGTTGTCCCATTTAGATACAAATGTGAACCAGCTTAGATACTAAATAAAACCACATATTTTCAATTAATATTTGATTTGAAATATTTTTGACAACCCTAGTCATGATGACGTTCTTGTGTGAGTGAGTAAGTAAGTAATCTTTATTTCTATAGCGCCTTTCACAGACTATTACAACAATTGTCATGGCCTTTTTTCCTCTCACTCCAAACAGTGATGGAAGAGGTGTCACGCCACAGGAGGTTCATGCTGGACCTACTGTATGTGTTTTCAGTTATTGGGGAAATTGAAGCACCCAGAGGAAATCTACACAGACACGAGGAGAACATGCAAAATCCACGCAGGAAAAAAAACAGCCCTGTGTGGAGGTGGAATGGAACCCAAGACTTTGTGAGTGCAACATTAACACGAAGCAGTGAGGTCTTAATGGGTTGGCTTGGACTGGCCTTCCATTTATTGCTGTCCTTGATCTTTTGTAAAGGCTAATGGGTCACCTCAACAACAACAACAGCCCTCTACAAGATCAAAGTCGACTTACAAATAACAAACTTGTGTCGTGAGCACTGGCGAAGAGGCTTTCAATGTATGTTTGGTCAAGCAAGAAAACATCTGGGACCACACAAAGGTCTGCGCCTCTCACGACATAATTCGCTTTCAAATTGCATGATGGTGGTTGAAACAGATTTTGGAGTAGGTCTGAGTGCAAGAATAAAAGAAAAAGATGAAAAGGACTGAGCAAAATAGGTACCTTCGAATTTGAACGGCATAATGAGGATATGGAGGTCAGATATACGTAGGCACAACTAGAATCTTAGAAGAGAAAGTAGAACCACCACCACAAGGGAAATTTACAGATGCAGTCGAAAAAAGCGTTTAGTTGCTTGCTGTGTGGAAAGGGGAATCTGTGGATAAGATTTGTTTGAGGCAGATGATTTACTGGGTTGAATTCCAGAGGGAGCAGCTAAAAGTAAAAAAAAAAAGAATAAGATGCGATATGAACATTTATTATAAAAGTCATACTGTAGCATGCTCCTGTGCAATGGGGCGACAAATGCACTATGACGACTATAAAGTAATGGGTCTATTTACTGCATATTCAACCAATTTCTCATATTAATTGAATTCAGATCCACTCATTCCTCCTTTGTCTGTCGAATAGTGAAGGCACAAAGACATAGCAAGCCTTAGGTGTAAGTGGATTTTTTTGTTCTTAGCAGCGGCGAGAGAATATGTGAAAGAGAACGGCAAAAAAAAAGCAAAATTCTGTGAGCTATAGAGATCATTAACTGCATGCTAATTAGCTATTAGATGGAGCTTGAAAAATGAATGCCAATCAGGGGAGAGCGGCACTCTGGCCAGCTGTGCATGTGCATGGAACTGTGTGCAGAGAGTATTGGGTCATGTAGGACTGGAAAAGTAGTCGTGTCCATCTGGCAGCGCCGGCTTTGGTCTGGCCCTTCAGGGATCAGTATCAATCATTCAGATTCAGGGCTGGAGTGGGAGTTTCCCCGCTGTGCTGGCCCTCTCTGTGGCCCCAGGAGTTCATCACCTGCTAATGGCCTGTGTGTGGGGAGCACTACAGCAGCAATGGGCAGCAACGGGCATCCAAAAGTCCCTCTGCACCTGTGTGGGACCTTTGCGCTTGCGTAAAAAGTAGTTTTAGGAGAATATCTTGTTAATCCAATAACTATAATTGGCAACATACTGTATTAGCGGTGTAATCCCTCGTTTGTCCAGGCAAGAGTAATCCACAGCAGAACAAAGGAGGGGTTACATTAGATAAGTATTGGACGAAGAGTTTAGAGCTAAGTCCTCACCACAGATTCAATATGCCTGCAGCGGTAAAGTCCCAAATTTCCGTTATGTCCTTAGGCATGGCACTTCACCCACATTGCCTATAGCTCCAGAGTTTCACTTTATTCTTATGTATTATCTTATTACTTTAGAACTTTATTTATTTTCACCAGCTATTATCTTAAATCATAGATCCTGTTTTATGTGTGCAATCGGAGTGCTCTTATTTCCTCCTTTCTTCTATTCTGCTGTAATGTGCGCAACGTTGACATTGAAATCTCCCCACTGTGGAAAGAAAAAAGGTCTATATGATCTAATCTATTTTATATGTCTGGTGTATGTGTAGCAATGCTTCCGTCGGTGGCAACATTAGCAGTTTGCCAGCACAGCGTATGGTTGAATGGATAATGTCATGTGTCTTTGAGCGTCATTAGAATTGCTGTATAAAATGTATGCATTATAACTCTTCCGACCACAAAATCATGCCTGGAGTTAAAAAGTTCAGCGGTGGTCCAAACGTGAAACTTGTTTTGTGAAACATACTGGTTTGATAGATCAACTATTTTCCCCTTATTTTCACTTTATTCATAAACACATGTCACTTCTTCACTTCGATCATTATGCAACATACAATCCAGGCTGATTTTTGTGCTGCATCTTTGCCCATATCCTTCTGAAGCCTCAGTTTCAGTTCACTGTCCGTCCACTGCTCATGATTACTCTTGGTTGTCCTGAACCTAGGCTTGTACTCATTCTTGTCTTTTTTGTCAAAGGAGGTTTTATATCTTCATTAAACTTTGAAAGTGACCTAAATTGTGCAATTGTGATCTTGGGTATACGTGTGTTTTTGTGTCTCTTGTTATTATGATGTGTGAAAAGATACATTTGGCGTATTTGTGTATGTTTGCTTTGAGATTGCGGAAGATTATGAAAAGCTGATCAAGTATGCAAATGCAGCCCAGATAGGAAAACAAATTCAAAACTATTTCCGCTCACACGCTTGGCTATTTGCACAGTTACCGCATTAAACTAAATACCATCTTGGCCTGAATTTGTTATTTTGTATCAAATGTTATCTAATACAGCAAGTGCTTCTTCTGGAAAACACACCCT